TAGAAGCTGGTTTTCCATGGACAATAGAAGCTTTCAAGGTGAAATAGCCGTCAACTACGCTTAGTCACGTCGGAGACTGATGGGCTTTTCCATGATTACAGCGGAGAGAGACCATCGAAATTGCAATGAAAATCTTTGATTAATTACCCCTGCAGTTGTGCTATTAATATTTTCGTCAGCTGTAGAAAAGTAGAAAAACATTTCAAACTCGTCAAACGAAAAAGAACCTGGATTTTCTGGCCACGGAAAAGCTGAGAATGTCCCATCTACCCAAAGGCTTTCGTAAAAGAATCAGAAAACTATAGGCACACCCTCACCTCTAGGCATTTTCATGAACCCAAACCCAGGGAATGAGATGTGATCCTTCTAGGAGAATAGTAAGAAAAAGAAAGTTCGGGAAGAAAAAGAAAACCCTTTCTCCTTCACAGTTTCCTTCAAAAATTCAAAAGTTCTTCCTTTTCCTTGCGTTGATAGCGTACTCGTGGGGAGCCCGCGAGGGTCGTCAGGATTTAACTACCATTTTCAACTATCGGAAATGGTAGTTTTATAGGTCTTTGGCAGTCCCTCTCCCAACAGCGACCAAATACGACTACCCCCCCCCTTTATAGCCGTTCACGTGAAACAAGAGAATCACGGTATCAAGAAAGTATTTTTCTCAGACCAAATACGACCCCCTCCCTCGCGGTCAAATACGAACCCCCGTTTTGATCATCACAACGATGGTGTACACTGCCTGACCGTCAAAGTTGGGGCTGCTAGCTTGATGTCGCTCCTTTGTGTGCCCATGTGCAACTCACATGCTGTCCACATGGTGGTTTGGGTCGATGCGGGATTCCCTGCATTGACCCGTGGGACCACCCACTGAGCTACGTCATTCTGCCTCATCATCATTTCGCTGAAATGCTCTCTTGGAGCTATTGACTCCTACCTACCGAACGATTTCTGTTAAAATCCTCGCTGTTTCTTATGAGTCTACTACCCTGCAATCCTCATTTTTTTTACAAACATTTTCTGCACATTTTACAGTTTTATTTCGCATTTTGTGTACATTTATTAAATCTGTAAGATGAATGATTGGTGAATGTGATGCGGTCTAGGCAACAACTTGCGAGGCCGCCAGTCGATGCGCAATTCAGTGCTCTTGTTCTCCCGGATGAACCTTTTACCAATTCGGACGAACGGGGAAAGGAGGTTCGTTGACCTGGGCGAGAGCCAATCCGGAGCTTGACCCAAGCACCATGCACGTGCCACTTGGAACTGCGCCTATTGGTTCCTATCAAAAAGACCCTGTTGAGTGCTCTCACACTTCATATCTTCCTTACATGGAAGGTGTCCTTCCCTACATTTATGATTTTGGCGTGCAGACAGGTGCATGGCTTACTTTGGAGACATTGCGTGGCCTTGATTGCGTTGGTGGTAAATTTCCCGAACGGCTTAATGAGCGTAGGTGTTTGCTTATCGTTGCGTCAGTTTTCGGCGACAAACCGATTTCACTGTGATGATGTAATAGGAAGTGGTGTTGATCCAGTTCTTAAAAGGAATGCGTTCCCCGTCGTCTGGCCCACATGATCGGGGCGGATTCTGTCGCGCAGGGGTAACAGCTAGTGGTTATCGATCATCATATCTCTCTATTCATGGAATTCTCATGGTTTTCTTATTGTATTACTTGTAGCTGGCTGGTGGAGCTTAATATTACTGTATTAGGCGACTTGTTCACGAACTTCGACACAATATTTGGCTGTTATCATCGATCGGCAATGTTTATAGATTTGTTTATTCAGATAGCGTATACGAATATGCTTATCAACGCCCACCGAGGCAATCTTGTCCCTTGTTTTCCACGGCTTTATCAATGCCCAATTTATTCCTATCTTTGAATGGAATCCACTGGGTGGTAGGGTCTAGAGAATGAAGATAAGGTTCCTGGAGGTTGCTCTGAAGCACTGATATAGTGATCGGTGACAAATGGTGTATCGGCTTCGGAAATGTCCAGCTTTAAAGAAGAAGAGTGCTGAAGTCGGCGCAGTCCCGCTTGGTGGGGGCATTTTGCTAGTTCCTCAAAAATCACTGCCTTCCTGTGGAGACCTGTAAATTCCTGTAAAGCTATGTAATAGCATGAGCCTTTTTTTACACTCGACAAGAGTCTCTTACCAAGGCGAAACGTGTAATTTTATGGGAACTGGCAAGAGAAACTAAGGCGAGTACAAAATACCCCCGCCCCACCTCACCTAAGCCGAGAATTGCCCCAGAGCCCTTTCTTCCCTTTGAGCTTACACTGGGAGCAGTTTTACAATACGCTAACAGGTTATTTATGAGCTCAAACCCCTCAAGTCCCCTCCTTACACACGATGTAGTGACAGTTGTATCCTTTAAATTAAGATCTTTGGTCATAGGCTAACAGTTCCTTGGCATACAACTGTTTTACAGGGTTACAGCGCAGTGTCACGAGGTGCAATCATTGTCACGACCCACGGGATCACATCCGTCAAGCCTCACTATTATTCCGCGTTGTTATTCTTCTTATGTTATTCTCCCGCGTTGGTTTTTTGTCCAGCTCCAGACTCTGGGTTAATAGAAGGATGAAGAAGAACCTTCTGCCTTGATGAATCCCTTTGTGGGATGCGGCACGCATTCTACTTCCATTCAGAATCGTAGTGGCTTATTGAATGCGATGTGGCCTATACAATGACTTGCGGGGCCAGCCGATGTACAGTCAATGTTTTTACCCTCACAGACCAACGTACCACTTTACCAATAGAGGAAAGAAGGCGTTGGCTTGGACGGGAGAAGAGCCGAGCTTGTCGCCGGTCCGCGCGTGGTAGGCTGGAAGAATGGATGGCAAAAGCATGGACACAGTCAAAAGATTCGTGTTATGCCGAACAACTCATCCCTCATGTTCAGAAACCTCACAGCTTTTTTCGCCTTCATAAGTAGCTCCTTTGAAATTGCTATTTTCCGCATCCACCTTATCACTCTACCTTGCAGCCACTCCATTGGCAAACTGACCATCGCGATATCATTTCCCGTCTGCTATCACACCATTGCCAGTGCTAAACTTTGCACTCATGGTGAGATGGACTCAATATCGCTACAGTGCGAATAAACTTTAATAAACATTCCTTCTATTTTTGGTGGGCATATGGCTGAAGGAGGTGTAGCCTGGTTTGTTTCATTGTAGCAGTATCCATGACAAACCAGGTAATTCGTTAGGGATCTCCCATGCAGCTTGACCTTAGCACTTCATAGAAAAGTTCGATCGCCTGTATTAACTTTCCGCCCAAGTCCCGGTTTCGTATGAGCTGTTTTGTTATTATTTTAAAACCGCTGCTTTAAAGTAGTCGAACCCTCAGGTGTTACCGCGAACATTCCATTCCACCTAGAGAAAACACTTCTTACAGAACCCTCATTTTCAGGGCGTTAAATATGCTACGAGTAGCTGCTCGACCAGCCGCCAGCCAACTATCGGCTCATGCCGAATGTCACACGCACATCGAGACTCCAGAAGAACGCGTCCGGCGCATCTGGCGAAATGCCGACGCTGTCGCCTTTGATGTCGACTCGACCGTCTGCCAGGTACGGCAGGTCTTGATAGAGCATCATACCGATTTGGGATTTGAATTTCCTAGGACGAGGCTATCGATGAGTTGGCCAACTTCCTAGGAGTCGGTGAGGCAGTGGCCAACGTCACGCGACAGGCCATGAATGGCAATGCCCGATTTCGGTGAGTAAGCTCTTACGTGGGGTCCTCTTATCCTTATCTAAACTCTTTTATCTTCGATGCAAGATCGCTTCATTTCGCGACGTTCTCCTATGTAGATTCCATCAACAGTTCTACAGTGTACATATTTCTATTGAATCCCTATATGTTAAATTTCCATAGGACCTGGTACTTGGCCAATTTTAGCACTGCACCAGGGTTCAGTACGGATTTCTGACAGGTGTAGTCTCACATATCGTCACTGATTTCATATCAATTTCAGCCATGCTTTGAAAGCTCGATTGGAGGTAATGCGGCCGACGTACGATCAACTGGAACAGTATGCCAACGAAACCAAACCAAAGGTAGAATCAACCTTCATGGATTTCAGTTCATTATTGTGACAAGTTCACTCTACGGTTACTATGTTTGTAGAATACAGTTTTTGGCGTTGGTGTGGCGCGATAATTGTACGATCCGTTAGGTAGAGCGGCGATCGTTGCACGCGTCTTGGTGAATCTGGGTAGGAAAATCAAAATAGGCAGCTCCAGCAAGATACGAAATGTGAAGCTTTTTCTGTGGCAGCACTTAGGCAACACTAAGCGGAGCGGGCGGGGACCGCAATTCAATTTGCCCTATTGACGGTTTCTCCTGTCTACCACTTGGATTAGGACATCCACCAATGAGAGGGGCAGAGTGATTGCAAAAACCGGTCCAGTCATCTCCGTTCACCCGATAATAGCGAAATATTACGGAGAAAGTCTTCACTCGTCACTTCAAAGTCAAACGGTGCACTCACTTTCGTGGATCCTGGTCCTTTCCAAGGGTGAAGTGAATGGGTTACGTAACAACTATGACTTTTGGTTCCTGATGCGAATGACCAGAGCGCAGAGAAACAAAGAACTGCGGCCGTCAAGGCATCGAGAGGTATAAAAAACCTAACGCGAGCCAGGAGATGATTTTCTCCAAGGTACGTTAGACCGGGGTGAATGAGCCACTTATGCGTGAAATTTGGAATGTGTAACGTCAGAGCGGTCACAGAACCATGAAGACGTGAGAGGGCAGAGAAAAACAGAAAGTTGGCGCCGTTAAAGGGATTGGGTTTCAGTTGTCACTAGACCGTCTGTCCCTATCGGTGCTGATTGTTCTCTACCTCTGGCTGATAGTTCACTGTGAGGTTTTGCTGTAGGCGCAAGCGCTGCAGTGCAGCTTAAGGATAGCGCCGGGGAAATCCGGAATGTCTGTCGAGTACCACAGCCCCCACAGCCCCGTTCTCGAGCATTTCTGAGCGGGGAACGTGTTACACTTGTACAGTTGCCGACCTGTTCTTGAGAACCGATTGTGCCGATGACAAGAACCCGTAGTTGGGAATGAGTGTACAATTTGTCTTTGAGGCTTCTAAAACCTTGCTTTCGGAGGAAAGTCGAATATGTGAGACGGCCAAGTGGATTAACCAACCGATATCAAGTGCAGTAGGCTTCCTTTCCATACTCGATTCATTTCGAAGCTTCAGGGTTTCCGAGTCTGCCTGTACGGGACTAGAGTATGATATGTAGAAATCAATTCCAAAACAATCATTGTGTGTTGTTTGGGGTACTATGTTTTTGTTTCGCCCGGTACGAATATATTTAATCATATGCAATCTCGATATCCTCAAACAAAAACAACCGAAATCGAATTCCACACCGGCGGTGTCGCCGAGGTCATATCATAAATTCCTTCCGGGTTACACAAAGCTGAATAACTGGGCCTACTTGGTCGAATATTGGCCTTCATGGTGCAGTGGTCAAGAAAGTGGTGTCGCTTTAGCGCAAAACAGCTAATGCCAATGCCAATGTAGCTAATGCATAATGGTCCGACGGAATAAGCCTTCCATCCGTCCAACTGATGAAATGCTCGTCTGGGAGTCAGAGGCCAGAAGCTCGTGGGGGATACTCACCCCACTAGCCTGGGAACATCGGTTGCTCTATGCATGCTACGTTTTCGGAGAGCCAAATACCACTTCTGTCCCGCAGCGACCAAATAAGGCTGCACTCGGCCTCCGGAACACAATAGCGCCCAAAATGGCATTTTTTTTCGAAGGCGCCGTGTTAAGTGAAGGGAGAATTTACGCGCCACGCAAAAACACCTTGTTGTATGAATATCAAAATAAATTTGAGAGATAAAAACATTTTTGCTGAATACAAAAATAACGCTGAACATTACAGTTAACTCCGGGTATCCGAGAGCTAGTCGCCTTGTTACACAAACGCGCACGGATGTCTTCCTTCGTCTCCGTGCCTTCGACGCGCTTCATTCGTAACAGTAGCTGTACATTTTAGGTGAGAGAGGCTGATTGGTCTGCCGTAGCAGAAGTCTTATGTACTTTCTGTTTGAAAACCTCAAAACGAAAACACTCGCCCGATTACTATTTTGTCATTTTCACGGCATCGATCGTAGCTTGAAACGAATCTATGCGAATGAAATTCTGTTCGCAACGTCAAGAATTAGTAAAAATGGTTCGATGAAAACGAACTGACAAGCGATTCGGGCAGTAAAGATGTAAGTTGTGACTACTGAAAACGAGCTTCTAGTGGTCAGTGATCTCTCAAGGGTTTTATGGTGATGCTCTCCAGAATAGCGACGCGTTCCCGATTGACCTCGGAGAGCACGGCTCCGATCATCCTTCACAAGCCAAGTAGCTTTGCAGCAGTGTTACATGCGCGCCAGTCGGCTACCATACGCATTCAAGACCATGTCCGGCCCAATCTTTGCGTGCTCATATTGCTTTGCTACTCTCTGCGTTCGACCGCGCCCGCCAGCTGTGTCTTGAGGCGCATGGCAACGATTTATTGTCTTCTCTTCCAACCGTGACATTCTGTGAGCGTTGGGAATACCCGTCTGAGACCCAGTCGCAAAATATCTGATTGCAGCTTTCCCTTCGGCCCATTAGGGGCAGGGTTATTTGGTTGAGGTCGGCAATGAATACAGAGTCTCTACTAGGGCAGCTTCCGAGACGAAAATCAGATGGGAACGGTTGAAAACCCGTGAAGAAGATCCTGTTCTCTTTCCCTTCAACTGCCTACAATCATATCAACATGCGCTCTGGTTCACCTCCCTTTCGCGAGGATCGGCAGCAAATTAGAGCTCTGTGAGAAAAAACCGTATAGCACCATTTGAGCTTGCCCAGAGCCTCGATCAGAAGGTGGTTCTTGGGCGGCATTGTTAAGTAGCTTAAAAGCGCCAGCCCACAGAAACACAGTCGTTTGTCTTAGCTTAGAACATTGTTTCTCATTCTTGTATACCGTATGTGGGGCGATCCCGACACACAATACAACTTTATCGTTTTCACGAGCCTATGGAATTCCGTGCCCATTCACCCCACACTCGTTGAGAGGCCTTATCAGTATTCTGTCCCTTCCCTCTCTAGCGAGGCGGGGCGGTACATTCTCGAAGTTATCAGCCACAAGCGCCTCTCACACGATTCAGCCGCTGACTGCCGCCTTCGAGAGCGATTCCCTTCACTGTATGAAAACTTCTGAGTGAAGAAACTACGCGATAAGGGGAGCACGAGTGGCAAACAAAAAAAGCTTCCGACTCATAACTATATAAGTAGCAAACACTGCGGTAGGATTTCTTGCCACCAACACTCTCACTCGAGCAGATCTTTCTAGGAGAGCGCGAACTCGTCGAAGGGGGCCAAATATTATAAAATTTTCCGTGTTTGCAGATTTCTAAAGGAGGTTTATCCCACACCAACAACATATAAGTTCTCCATTCCAGGTTGGCAAACCAGCCGTGATGGGTTTGTTGAAGAAGCAGGGATACAAGCAACTGGTCATGGTTGGTGACGGTGCCACTGATCTAGAAGCTGCACCACCGGCTGATGCCTTTATCGGTTTCGGGAAATCGGTAGCCGTTCCTTCTGAGCACCTCAGAGCGATTATACTAAGGCCTTCTTTGCTACCAATATAACCAATTTATTCTTTAGATAAGAGAAGCTGTACGAACTCGAGCCGATTGGTATGTGACAGACTTTGAGATTCTGCGTAAAGCACTGGAATGACCCTCGATGATCGCTAAACTGCATAACTGTTTGTTACAAATTGAACCATTAAGCTACCTCTTATTCATTTTCTAGGCTTTTCTGTGATCACAATAACATTTCCTAGGTGACTGTCTATACTACCTATTACATCCTTAATTAAATGGCTTTTCTTTTTCTACAACTCACTCGATTCTTTCATTAGACATATTTTCCTTTGATTCGTACTACTCTTTCACTCCTCTATTACTGTATTCATTCATGATTCGGGTTCATGTTGAGCCGAGATCTTAAGGGTCCCTTATCTTGACAACGACGACATTGACGTCTACGACCGAGTAGACACTTTATTATAGACGCCCAGTTCTGACTCTTTTTATATTGCAAATTATTGCCCCAATGCAAATGTCATTACTAACTCGCGGAGCACACACACCGCCACACACAATGATTTCAGTATCCAACAACTTTTCTCTTGAAAAAAAAGGCCTAGTTACAGAACGGCTTCAACATTTGGCTTGAGAATGAGGTTGCACCTGGCAGATCGCAGGCCTTACGCGCATTCTTTACCTCAAAAGTAAGGCGTGCCAGCGCCACCACGCCGGCCCTCTGCCGCGCTGATACCTGCACGCTGCTTCTTTGAGTAAAGAATGGATTTTGCTGAGCGGGCCCGGCTCCGTTGCACTTATCCTTCTCCTCACCGGCTTTTCTTTTATACAGATAGTCAATAATCTTTGACCAATATGTTCATACGAGTGCACTACATGATTCTTTTATATAGTGAGATTGTAAACAATCACACATTGCCTCAAAGTGATACTAAAACATGGATTTTATTCGCGACTTCAAAGTGATACTAAAACACATGACTTTATTCGCGCACTTCGCTGCCGCTGAGCCTTCCTCTATTCACCTTAATCGCCTTGTTGCATTGAGCGCCTTTTAGTTATCACATTTCTATAGTTTCTACTAAACGCACTCTATGCTTCCCCTCCCGTACTCTCCCTCACTAATCCCACCCACCCACATTATACCCTCCCCACTCCCACTTGCCCCACCCACTCCCCATCCCGGCCGCTGCACGTGCTCACGTCCACCTGCCACGCGAGCAGCTCGTGCAATGGTTTGGAGTGCACTTCATTATTCTCTTATATAGTGCAGGGTGTTATCACAATCAAAACATTGGATTGATACATCTCACAACTGTTTCCGCCACCGCGCTAGCGGGCGACACTCTCCCTTTCAACTGACGTGTTTGAACCCCGTGAAGCATTTTGCGGACGGACAGACATACATACATACATACATACATACCGACAAACCGACACACAGAATTAGTGGTTTATAGTGAATGTAAGGCATTATTTGCCCAATGAAATGTCATTTCTAACTCCGGGAGACACACACGCACAACACAAATGATTCAGTATCCCCAACAACTTTTCTTTGAAAAAAACAAGGTAACCCCTAGTACAGAAACGCTTCAACATTTTGTTTTGAGAATGCAGGTGCAACCTTGGCAGAGTCGCAGTGCGACAACCGCACCCCGAAAACCCTGGTGTACACAACCGCAATTTTTTTATGTTTTTTTTCTGCACCGGGACATTTGTTTACCTGCTCACTTACAATTTAATGAAGTAAATGGAAAAAATATTTAATCTTTCTGACGCCGAACCGGTACAGGTTCTCCATTGCAGACCGCACCAAAAGAAAACAAATTTAGCTTAGCACACCATTAATAAGAACAGAGATCTGAGCGGTATTGTCAAAGCTTAGTTTAATTCTTCTAAGTCGCCTCCACGAAGAGCTCAATCTTATAGGACCGTGTCTTTAAGATGCTCCGGAAATCATGAAGGCAGATCCGCCGAACCTTGGCGCATGAATTTTTTTAGCTACCATGTGCTTTATCCCTTATTTGTCCAAAGCTCAAGATTCTTCCTAGTCTCGGCTGTTCGCCAGCCACTGCCTCCATTAAGTCCCTCCTTCCAAACACGCAGCTCTTTTTCATCGGTAGTTTCATGCGATAGCCTTCACCAGAAGTCAAAAGACCTCGGCATCAGTTCGGACAGTACCACATCACTGCGTAGAACCACTAAATCGATGAGAATCGACTTTGATTCGTTGCAGAGAATAGAAACTATGCGTAAGCCAAAAACACTTTAGTCATATTGCAAGTGTGCTTTTCACTGCGAGCGGAGGAATATCGGGTATGCTTTCATTTGTTAGCTGCGCATGGCTCGTGCGGATAGCCAGCGCTAGCTCGCCTTTAGAGGGCGTATTCGGTGACGTGGTGCACCCGTTCTGCCCTGATGTGCCTCATGAGGGCCGCTTCCGAGCGAGATACAGGTCATGCGTGCTTGGGTTTTCCTTAAAGTCACACTTCTAAGAATACTGCGACCTAGCACTGCCCTTTTTGGGAAGCGTTCTTCAACACTGTCGAATTAGCGAGCTACGTGAACTTGTTCTGAGGGGGCCTTCCTCTTTTTCAGGACGCTGAGCACGCTGCAATTACCCTCGTTCAACTGGCAGCCAACTATCGTTTATGCAGGATGCCACACACAAGTCGAGACCCCCGAGAACGCGTACTGACATATGGAGAAATCGCGCGGGACGCCTGTCGCCTTCGCATGTGACTCGACTGTCTGCCGGTGTATGCTGTCAGTTCACGCTATCGAAAATTTCATAAGAAGTTGAAATGCCTTAAAGGCAGTTGCGACGGTGCGTTTCCTACTTCGCCTAAAATGCTAGTAGGGAGCTATATAGTGGGGAAATATCGAAAGAACGGAGTGAAACGGTCAAAATCCGGCGAAGAAAAAGCCTTCGTTCTCAGTGACTTGTAAATCGATTTCGGACGAGTTTCCCGTACCGCATCTACCAGTAACGCTACCAAGATACGGCTGCATATTTGTACCCATATATGCATGCAGCATCACCGCCGCTTCATACCAATCCCTTTGCTTCATAATTTGCTCAGCAAATGAATGAATACGAGCGTCAGAAACGGTCGTCCGTTTGTGGGCGGGCGGGCAAGGAAGGCGTTTGGGACGTAAAGTTGTTGCTCAATAGGCTATAGAGGTACCCTCCTTGGAACATTGCTTCGCCGCATGCGCTCCGTCCGAGTCACGGCAATTCTGTTAAGCCAGTTGCACAAAATTCTACACCTGCTACAAGCCGATTTATCGTGCAACTGCCTTTAAGCTGGTCCAGTGCGATTGTGGGCGGCTTCAGTTTTCATATCATGTGGACTTTACTCTGCTTCGACCACTTCACCGCGTAGTCGATTTAGTGAGAGGTTAGCCGCTCCAACACAAACTGTAGTACATAAGGTACCTACCGTGATATCCCGCGTCTTTACTGAACTAGGCGGTCTACATAGGACAGAGGCGCTGCCATCACTTCTGATTGTTCTCCACCGCTGAGTACGTGCATCGCTGACGTAGCTTGGTGTCAACGCAAAAGCTGCACCTTGAGAAAGCGCGAACGAGAGCATCTACCATCCAGCTTGCCACAACTTTTAGTAAACGTGCACCGCGCCACTCTTTGAGCCGAAAAAGTTGGCACTCTACGGCCAGTTGCGCATTCCGGATCCATTCGTCCTCGCACATGGCGGATCGTCCTTGGGATGCAAGTCTCAGTTATGTGTTCCTGCAAACGGACGAGTCTTATAACGGCGGCGTAAGTTGAAGCGAAGCCCAGCGCAGCAGATTACCATAGATCACGTGGCACCTTTCCGTCCTAGCTGCCCTTCAATACCCATCACCACATCTTATCGGTCATACGAAGCGACTGATACAGGTTTGTCTTCGACGGCAAAAACTGCCGTGTCATCTTACCCAAAGTATGGGTCGTTCGATCGAGGACGATTGCGCTTGCTGGTGCGCGAGCAAATTCAAGGCAAACTTTGTGTTGGGCTCTTTAAACTGACCTAGCCGCCCTCGCACCCCGGATGAGGTGGGTATGGCTGCGTACTTCACTTCAAACATGGTTGGCGACTGTCGTGCGTTGGTTAGCCGAACGACGCATGACTGCTATGCTACACCTCGGGATGCAATAACGCATTATTTCAGTAGGGCGCAAGTGGCTCACAAAAGAATTTAGGCGTGAGGTTCAGTGCATTGCAATAGTCGACCACGGACTCGCACCATATTTGACGCGCGTTACCTGAAAAAAGCGGTCGTAGCCGATTTGCCGACATATGCTTTGAGCTGCTGTAACAGAAGGCATGAACACTTCAGGATGAATGCCACTGCAGCGCGAAAGTCGAACTCAAACTATTGTTGGCGAAAAGCAACCTTTTCTGTCAAAAAAAAAAATTGAAAATTGCTCATTAAGCTAGAGAACAAGGGCAGTTTTCGATTCTGCGTTCAAGAAACTAAGGTTCGATTGATTTTTTTTTCACGTGCTGTGGTCTAATCGTAGTTCCACTGAATCAGAGCCCCAGAAATCGTCCTTGTAACCAGAAGTTCGAATGCGGGGAAGTTGAAATCAGGCTCAACGATTGTTGCTGGAAACGCGAAAACCATAAAAGGCACTATTCAGCTATTACTGCCCCAAAAAGGCAAAAATTTTCTTTTGGTGAACCTCGCCCACAGAGATAGTTCAATGTCCTAATCACGAATATAGCACTCGTTTTGGGCGCTGGCGCCCAACTGGCGCCAGTTAGTACCGCACCTATCCTACCAGAATTTGCAAGGTATGGGACATTCACTCCAGCGTCATTTAACACTTTCTAGGGCTGAGCGTGTGAGAAAGAGTGTTTTCCTTTAGGTCAGGCCAGCCATACCAGAGCGCAGACAATCACAGCGTCTTCCATCAGCGCCAATGTGATATATGCAATCAAGATGTTAAATGGTCTTCTTATACAAGTTTTCAGCGGATTTAGTGACCTAGGGTATTTTGGCGCTGGCGCTGAAATACCCTAGGTCAGGCCAAGTGGGTGTGATGTTCGTGTTCAGGAGGTCGAATTACCTCTAGAATCCAACTCTCAGCCAAATCTGCCCACGTAGAAAATAAGTTGATTAAGATCCGGCCTGTTCTTGGAAAATTGGGTTTGTTTTCCAGGTAGAGCGCGTCGAATATGGTGTGAGTCCGCAGCCGACTATCGCAATGCATTCAACCTCACGCCTAAATTCTTTTGTGAGCCACTTGCGCCCTACTGAAAAATCGTTATTGTCTCTGGGATATGCAGTGAAGCATGCGACAATGTAGGGTCTGAGATTTAGAAGTCCAGAGAAAAGAAGATCGAGCGTCCTACGGGAAGTATTCTGCGAAAGAGGGTGGGAGGATCAAATGTGAGGACTGGCAGGGGCGAACAGTCACCGCAATTTGCACCATGTTCACGACAGTAGAGGAGAACTGTCTCTGGGAACACAAGAAAGCGGTGCAATTATTGCGATAAAGTTCAAGAGATGTAAAATGGTGGCGCTACCAAGATTTGAAGTGCTGCTCCAAGAAAGTTCAAAAGCGTGCTAATGAGAGGTATTGATTAGACGTGAACGGCCGCTTCCGCTAATTGAAATGTTCTGTGGCCTTGCTTTTCAATCCAGGCTGCAGTGCCGTGATAATATACCATCAAGAATTCGAATAATTTTAAGAACCAAGCGCTCGATGACTTAGCCGACCACCTAGGAGTAGGTGAGGCAGTCGCGGCCATCACGAGAAAAGCCATGGATGGGAAGACACGATTCCGGTGAGTACGTACTCGCGTTAGTAGTGGCTCAGGCAGCGTTCAGACTTCGCGACGGCGGCCCTTCGGTCGCGCGTTCGAGCGATCGAAGCGCCACTAGCGTACACTTGCGTCGATCGCTCGAGCGAAGGCAGCGCGACTGATTAGATAGCGCTTCAATGCAAAAATTGATCATCCGGATGCTAATTCACAGCCGTATTCGCTTACTTTTTCCTTCTTTCTCCTCCCTTAGCTTCTAGCTTGTTTTTTCATCTTCCTGCCACTATTTTTTAATCTATCTATGATATTTGTCGGTTATTGTGCTTTTTACCTTTAACACAATGAAATTTCTCAGATACATACATTGAACTTTTTCGGGTGGATGGCCGTGTTGAGCGCGCGCACATTCCCCTCTTCTGAGGTGGAGTTTTCAGGTTCCCTGTAATTTAGCTTATCTTTTTCCTGAACTGCTGAACTGCCGACCAAGCTAACCACAATGTAATTGATGAGAATGAGCCACACTAACCAAAACTACAGGAGACCTAAAACCCGTCTCACAAATAGAGGAAGTGCACGCGCCGTCCGTCCAAAAAATTTCAATGTATCTGAAAAATTTCAATGGGAAAAGGTAAAAAAGCATAACAACCGACAAAAATTAGGAACAGATTCAAAAATAGTGGCAGGAAGATGAAAAACAAGCTAGAAGCTAAGGGGAGGAGAAAGAAGGAAAAAGTAAGCGAATACGGCTGTGAATTAGCATCCGTCCAGTCGATTTTTGCATTGGAGCGCAACACACTGGAAGCGCCAATCAATCACTCGCGCGCACCAATCTGTACGCAGCGCGAGCGACACGATCGTGCGCTCGCTTCGATCGCTCGAACTCGCGACCGAAGCGCCGCCGCGCGATACGCGAAGTCTAAACGCCGCCTTAGTTAACGTATATGAAGTGCGTTGGAAGACCTATTTTTGCTATGCTCATTTTTCATAATTATTTTGCCAGCAGGTCGGTGTCTTTCTGAAACTTTCATAATTCAGAGAGAAACTCAATATTGGATTCTGACCAAGAGTTGTCATTGGGATCGCGTTCATACTTTGCGACGCGAAACATTCCCAGATGGCGTCGCCGCGATCTATCTACCGCTAATCGCCGAACTGCTGGGCGGAAGGGCTTCCAAGGATTATTGAGTACTTTCCCAATTGATCCCAACTGTTAGCTGTGGAATGGCTGGTCAGTCGCAGTATCGGCGGGCAAACGAGTTGAGTTGCAAAGTATAAACGCAACCTAAGGATTCCAACCGTCGTTGTAAACCTTCAGAGTTTTCGATTATCATGCCTTTCATTGTATCACTTTTGTGCAGATTTTTAGAGAGGCTCTAGTGTCTTGTTTGGAGGTTATGCGGCCGACGTATGAGCAATTAGAGAAGTATGCTAATGAAAATAAACCCAAGGTATGAACAGTCTTAGTGAGCGGTCGTAAAGATCTTGCCACGGGAGCAACGGTTCTTAGACTCGGAACTTGTAGGCGATGTAGTGCCTTTTATGCGCCACACTTTTAGATTTGTGTGAAAATGAACCCCATTTGGGCAAATCCACTTTTTTGGTCAAAGGCGGGTGGCACGATAAGTTCTTAAGTCGTGTAGGATAATAATCGCCCTTGCAGAACCAGGATTTTGGCGCCTCCATGCGCAGGCGCTCGTGGAGCGTCGCTGCCTTCTGCAACCAAGGCCTCGCTGGGGGCGCTCTAACGACGGTACACACATGCCAACTCCGACGCCCACCGCACCCACCGCCCACTAGTATGCCGACCTATGCTGATCCTGCGTATCGCTTCATTTGGCGAAAGGTACATTATAAGGCGAAGACAGGTAGATATGAAGCGGCTGTTGTGTTGCGATGGATATATGAGTATCATTGCAGCCTAATACACGTAGTGGTGTTGCTACGATGCCAACGGTAAACTCGTCCGGAATTGTTTTTTGAGCCATGTGTAGCAAAGAATTTTCTGCAAGTTTTCAACGGCTTCACTTGTTTTTTTGTATTTACGCCACTAAGCTTAGCACCCATGCTCTGAATCAAGTACCAAATCATCGTGCCTTAGGGCCTTCAAGGTGTTGCATAAGTGATAAGAAGTTTCGCAGGAACAGTGGGATTTGAGTTCAACATCTCCCGACAAGTGAAGCAATTAAGATAAAATGTATTCGCCTGCAGTTTTGATTGAGAAACAATCGTGTGGCTTATCTTGAAAAGAAAGATCCCCCGCCCCCGTCAATTCACTGACGGTGGCAGCGCGAAACCGGAAGATGCAAAAGGCCTATCCAGGATTTTGATGCATTACTAGCACCCAAAAGTCAAACTTGTGTAGTGCAGCTTATGGATCAACAAAGAGAAATTGTTAACGTTCCAGCTGACTCCCGGTATCCGAGAACTGGTCGCCTTGTTGCACAGACGTGGCACTGACGTGTTTCTTGTATCTGGTGGTTTCCGACGGCTCATTGAACCAGTGGCTGACATGCTAGGTGCGATGACAGTAACAAACTACATGAAACGAGGAATTATAAATGAGAGATTGATTTCAGGCATTGACAGAAAGCGAATCTATGCCAATCAGATATTGTTTGATAAGAATAAGAACTATGCCGGTTTTGATAAAAATGAGCCTACGAGTGATTCGGGTTGTAAGAATGTAAGTTGTATATCTCAAAGTTGACCTGGAGTGCTTTCCCTGATAACCCTCTATGAGTATGACCACCAGGCCAGGTGATGCTTGAAGCACGGTCCGCGATCAGGTAATAGAAAACTGAAAATTTTGTCGTTGAAGAGGAAGCTGTGTTCCGCAGGAGAAACTTTGTCTGCTCTTAGGAATGCGCCACGCAGCCACTTATCAGGGGCGCCCAATTCTGTCCCTACCTATCTCAAGGATTATCGGTGCCAAATGCCCTTCAGCTGCGAAACCTAATCCCGTAACTTTTTTCATAAGCTTGCCTTACGCATTCGATGCTAACAGTGGAGTATTACGCAAATATCACTAGAGCTTCGCGTTGAAATTCCAAAGCTGTTGTTGGTTGGCCACCAGATAGTTCTTGGTACCAGAAAAGTAGTAAATGAATCATCGTTGAAGCTCCCACATCTGATGCCGTTTTAAATTCCTCTCCTGTTCGATTCCAGGTTGGTAAACCAGCTGTGATGACCTTGTTGAAGCAAATGGGTTACAAACAACTGGTTATGGTTGGTGACGGTGCCACTGATCTAGAAGCAGCACCACCGGCTGATGCCTTTATCGGTTTCGGTGGAAATCAGGTATCGTTCCCTATCCAGGCGTTCTCCTGGAAGAAAGGCTTAGCGTCACATTCTTACCTATTTCGTTCGCCTAGCAGTGGACAATTTACGTTTTACTTTAGGTCCGAAGAATTGTTCGAATTCGAGCAGACTGGTTTGTGACGGATTTTGACGACCTACGTGACGCGCTGAAATGGGATCTCACAGTACCTTACTATAACAGCAAATTATAGTAATTAGATGTATAACCTAAATGTTTAAGATACTCTTACTTCTTGCGTAGGATTTCTGTAATCAACTCGTACTTCTTGCGTAGGATTTCTGTAATCACATTAACATATCCTAATTGCCAATGTCACTTATTACATAATGTCACTAATACCCCTTCTTTTACTAGACATACTCCCTACTAGACGTAATCACACTACCAGGTAATAACAAGAGAATCGCTCGGCCGCGGGGGGGGGGCCTGGCGTGCGAGCGACGTTGCGCCTGCGAGGGAGAGTTCTTCTGCCCAGCCATTCAAATCTGACTATTAAAGGGAAGGAAGGGTGTTACTAGTAAGGATGCTTAAGTATTCTGATCCTCCATATCGTCAGCTATGACAGTAACAGACGGTGGTAGCGTTCCAAAACTTGTGGAAATGGGCGTAAGTATCGGAAAAATCGGTTTAAAGTCTCGCGCCCTCACCGCGCGAACGCTCACGCTTGCGAAATTTCCTCGCTCATTGAACGACGGTGCGCTACGAGCAGCGAGGCGGCAAAATACGATTCTCTTGTCCGACTCCCTTCACCCTCTTTACTGTACTACTCGTATCCTTTCACTGTGATTCTAGTTCATGTTCATTCGGAATCTTTACTGTCTTTTACATAACTGCTCACACATAGGTGAGCAAATCTGCTGGTGCTCTTGCAAAGCAATTTAGTTCTCGAGAACGTTTCGATTTCAATCGGTAAAGGCACAGTCAACAAGCCAACGAAACAGACACCAACTTCTCACCGACATAGATTGAGAAGCCATTCTCTCAGACTGGCGAAATTATAGCGCCCCAATCCCGGGAGGCGGAGTGGGAGCTTTTCCAACCGACGTGGCAGGCGGTTGCGCGCGCTTTTGGCAGGATTTTCCCCGGTTTAAAAAACAATTGTAGCTATATTTTTGTCAATATTTACTTCAAACGGAAGCATCTCACGGAAGCGCGTTAGACTTCGTGTTCAGATCAAGTACGCAGCCACGCCCACTCCATCTCCAGGATAAGGTGTGTAAGTAGTCCCACTTAAAGACAGCTCCCGCGATAAAAGTGTCATGGATAGTTGCTTTTCAATTATGAAACAGTAGCTGATAAGTAATCCCAAAGAAGAAAAAAGCAAGAAGAGTCCTCAAGAACACCATAAACAAAAATCGCTGCTGACACGTAATCCCCCGAAGATAATAAAGCAGAAAAGATCCTCAAGAACAACCATAAACAAAATCGCTCCCTAACAGTCACACCTCAGTGCGGTCTCTGTGCAACCCCTAGCTCACAAATATCTCTATCACATCTCGCAATAGTGATATCGTCCCAATGCACAAGAATAAATAACAGCGAAAAACAACAAAAACACGATGAAAAAGTCTTGAAAAGGAAACAGAAATTTCCCAAACAACGGCCGGCTTAGGGTTACAATTAAGGTTCAATTGCGTGGCATATTTTAGTGTAGTGAAGTGCGTCGAGCTTTTGCACCACGAAAATTGGGTCGCTCGTGATTTTTACGCGTTTTACATTGCGAGATGGGTTGGAGTTGACTGTACTGTGCCAATAAAATTACAAATGTAAAAGAAGAAGCAGATCATTCATGGGCACAACGCCCGGTCAGCGAAAAAAGGCAAGCGAATTTCCAATAGTCCCGCCCGCCCAACTAAGAAGAACTGAACGGCCCATCGCGTCAGAGGGCCTCTAGCAAGTGATCGGCGTCAACTGGGGAGGCGTTCAGAAACCAGGACTTCAGCGGCTGTAGCTCGCTAATCGCTCGCTGTGGAGTTGCGAGAGTGGGACAGTCTCTAGCTTGGGGGCTGTACTACTTGCACAAGGAAGGGCGACCATGTACTTCTTGAGCGCGGGGGCTGTCATTGGTCCATGAAGGCTATCTCAACATTGCTCTGATGGCAAAAAGGTCCATATATCTAATTTCATCTACACCACATCTGAGCAAATCTCATCACTCTTGCCAAGTAGTATCCTCTTTGTTGCAGAACTGTTGTGACGGACTTCGCTGGGAAATGAAGTAAGCTGATTGCTCAAGGTTATCGAATAAAGTGAGTACTTTGTGAGGGAAGTAGTGGAGCAGTGGCTTGTGGCAAACGCACCGTGCGTGTTTTCAAGGGTTCAACCAGAGATCAGTTTTCCCTCGGGAATTTCACGCTGTGAAATGCAAAAAAAAATACACACTGCCTTCACTGATCCCACCTCTGCTTTTTGGACACCTCTGCTTCTTCATCGGCAGTTCACCGATAGCCTCACCAGAAGTCAAAAACTCGCTCCATCATTTTTTGTGCAGTACCTTAGCATTGGGTACACTGAGCGTGAGATCAACTTTGATTTCCTTACAAATTAGAGTAAGCAGAAGCATTTAGTTTTATCAAGTGTACCATTCGCTCGGGTATGTTTCATATTCGGTGCGATGGTACGTGCGGATAGCCAGGTAAGTCGTTTCGGGGCGTGTTCGTTAGTGTACACCCGTGCTGCCCCACTCGCCTTGAGCGCCTACTTTCATTCGATGTTCCCGCGCCCTCTCTGGATATCATAGCCCTCCCTATGAGGATGCAGTATGTACTAGTTTTGCATCTCAAAAAGGCGAGAGGATAGCGCCGTTCGCTAGTGAAGAGTCGGCCGCCCCGCCCACCTGGCCAGCATAGGGTTCTATATAGGGCATTTTCCATGATTTTTTCGCTATTTTTTCAGCGTACTGGATCACTTAGTATGATCCGCATAACTCATTATTCTTGAAAGCCTATTGAAGGCTGAGCCAGTTATGTTATGGCAGCCAGGTGGGCACAGCGGCATCCTCTTCACAAGCGGGTAACTCCATCCTCTCGTATTTTTGAGCTGCAAAATTAGTACACCTTCCACCTTTGTCGACAAAGCAAGATATCTAAGGAGGGCGTTAGGAACATCAAACGAATGCGGGCGCTGCCTCAAAGAGGGGCTGCTGCCGAGCAAGACACAGGTATGTGTGCTCGGGTTTTTCATGAATAATTAGACTTCAAAGAGTACTGTGACCTAGCACATCACTTTAGGGGAAGGGATTCTTCAACACTGTTGAACCTTCAGAAGTTAGCGTGAACTTGCTCTGAGGTGGCTCTTCTTTTGTTGCAGGACCTGATACCTGGGCAGTTTTCTCGTCCAACTGGCAGCCAACTATCGTCTTATGCTGGTTGCCACACACAAGTCGAAACTCCCGAGGAACGCGTACGGCGTATATGGCGGAACGCTGACGCTGTCGCCTTCGATGTCGACTCGACTGTCTGCCAGGTATGTGCCAGATCACGGGTGCTTTCCGACACTGCGTTAACGACCCCTCTCCCTCCCTGACGGCCAATTATGTAGGACCCTCCCCCCCCCCCCCCCGATGGATTTTGCATAACGATGCTCACCCTGGCGTTGCAGACTAATGTGATCGTGTCTCTTTCAAAATGGATGTCTTCCTGCCGTCTGTTTTTTTATCCTAGCTCGGTTGCTTTAACCGAAAATTTCGTCAAAATCCAATATATTCAAGAACCAAGCACTCGATGACTTAGCCGACCACCTAGGAGTAGGTGAGGCCGTGGCGGAAATCACGAAAAAAGCCATGAATGGGAACACTCGATTTCGGTGAGTACGTTCTTGCGTTGGTTAGTGGATTAGTCATTGTTTTTGTACGGGATGTTGGGAAGAAACTGACTATTTTTGCATAGCCTTAGTTTCCCACACATATACACTGCGTCCCAAAAGTATACAGCCACCCATAAATCTCACAATATCCCTCCCTACACGACGTTTTCAAAAAAGCCTCTAGGTATAAAATGTGGTAATTACCAGTACCAATTTGCATGCCAACTCCGAGAACTGACTTTCCACAGCAACTTCAACTTTCTTTATTTTTGAAAATTTCTCACTATGACAATGTCCCACAAGTATACAGCCACCGCATATTTTCCCATTGCGTCTCATTTTTTTCGTGTAAACTTTCTCATCATCTCTACCTTTGACCTTTTCCAGGTTATGGCGAGAGGGCTTTCACTGTCTGACTTCGAAAAGGGGCAGATTATCGCAAAGAAGGCTCAAGGACTGTCGAATCGTCAAATCGCAAGAGAGTTGGGCCGCAGTCATTATGTTATCGATTAGTTTGTCAGGGATCCCGCAGGATATGGAGTCAGGAAGAGATCTGGGCGTCCTCCTGTGCTGTCTGAACGAGATAAACGTCCTATCCTGAGAGGTTCAACTCCACTCCAACTCCATGTCATGCAGGGAAATAAAGTCATCGCTGAATCTCAATGTCTCGAAAAATACTGTTTGGCGTGTCTTGAAGAAGTCAGCGTTCATCATCAGAGAGAAAATGAGGAAGGCACCGTTCCTGACAGACCGCCATCGCGAAAACCGACTCGCCTTTGCTAGAAGATGCTGCCGAACCGACTGGAGCAAGGTTAGCTTTCGTGCTGCGGTGCCCCCCTGCTTGTCTTTTCAGTTTTTTTTCTAGGTCGTGTTTTCCGATGAGAAGAAGTTCAACTGCGACGGCCCGATGGAAGTAGATTCTACTGGCACGATCTCAGGAAAGATGAGCTCAATTTTCCGAGGCGGAACTTTAGAAGGGGTGGTGTCATGGTATGGGCTACGATCGCATCAACGGGACGTTTGAAGCTGTGCTTCGCATCAAACAAAAATGAACTCTCTGCTACGTAGAGGTAATGCGACGAGGTCTGTTACCTTTCTGGCGAAGGATGCGGCATGAAAGTCCTGTATTCGTGCAAGACAATGCACCAATCCATGTCAGCCGGAGCACTCGAGCGTGGTTCAGCCGTCATCAAATCACTCTTTTGCCCTGGCCAGCGAATAGCCCAGACCTAAACCCTATCGAGAATGTTTGGGGCTTCATGGTACGCAGGATATACGCGCACAATGCGCGATTCGAAAATGTCCGTGAGCTCAAGGAGGCTATCATTGATGCATGGCACCATGTCGACAAAACACTTATAGACCACCTCTATTCGAGCATGGACAACCGCATTTTCGAACTTATTCGAAAGAATGGGGCTGCAATAGATTATTGAAATGACGATTTATTAAATTTGTTGTACACTTGTTGTTTTCTGAATCGATTCGTTTAGTGGCTGTATATATTGATGTGATATGTCATAGTGAGAAATTTTCAAAAAATAAAGAAAGTTGAAGTTGCTGTGGAAAGTCAGTTCTCGGAGTTGGCATGCAAATTGGTACTGGTAATTACCACAATTTAGAATACATAGAGTTTTATTGAAACTGTCGTGTAGGGAGGGATATTGTGAATTATGGGTGCGGTGTATACTTTTGGATCGAGTGTATGTATGCTATATAGATTAGACATGCTTTCACATAGAGTAAAAAACCCCATGCCACTGAGGTGGTCTCTGAGACGGCGTTCAGTAGTGTCTGCACTATGACATGTTTGCGCGGACCAAACACGCTTCACTGTATTCGGAATGCTGGACGCCTGTGTTCGTCTAGTTCGCAGTCAATGAAGTTGTATGATTGTGTTGATGTTTGCTATCTGGTATTATGTGTGTGTTCCGGAAAGTCACAGCGTTTTTGTTCAGCTTTAAACGAGTCGTAACTTTTTTAAATATCGTGATGGATTTAAGTGTCGAGAGATAGGCCCATTCGAATCAGCACACTTTTGCCAATGTGACAGCAGTCGAGAAATTTCATCAAAATAAAAAACTGGGTGGTCGAAAATTCACGAAATCCACTAAGGCTTTTTTGCCTGGTCCTGATTGATGAAGTATTTTCCAGCAAGGGAGTTCTGAAAATGTTAGAAAAGGTGATAGTCGGTTGGCGAAAGGTCTGAAGAATATGGCGGTTGAGGTAGAACTTCAACCCCCAATTCGTTCAATTTATGGATAGTGATTTGTGAAACATGTGGGCGGGCGTTGTCATGCAAAAGAATCGGACCCTTTCTTTTGATAAGTGTTGGCTGCATCTGACAAAATTTTCGGTACAATTCGTCGATTTCTTCACAGTAGGGTTCTGCTGTGATGGTTTGGCCTGGTGATAAAAAGTTATAGTGGATCACACCAGCCGATGACCACCAAAGCCGTGACCAGAATCTTTTTTTTCCTGCCGGTCACTCCGATTGTGGGGCACCCAATTGTCGAGTTTTTTCACCTTCCCAATGCGTTCCAGACCATCTGCAACAGTGGATTTGCCAAGGCCTAGCTCTTCTGCTATCTCTCGAACTGTTTGGGATGGGTCAGCCTCCAAAATCCCCCTAAAATCCTCGTCAGATATTGCTTTAGGTCGACCGCTATGAGGTTCATCTTCAAGGCTGAAATCTCCAGAACGAAATTTGTTGAGCCATTGCCGCACAGTGCTTTCTCTAGCACTATTGGGCCCCCACACCTGGTTAATTTGTTGAGCTGTTTCGATTGCGGATTGCCCCAATTTATAGTCGAAGAAAAAAATCGTCCGAAGTGCTCTTTTCACATGCTTGAAAAATCTTGAAAAAGGGGGTTTATCAAGCAATGGTGAAACGGCAATTATACCATCAGATAGCGCAAGAAATTCTCTACAGGATGTGCTACTGAGAAGCAAGGCAGAATGAGTTTTTAATCAGCAGTGAATGTACAAAATAGGTGCACAAAACGCTGAGAACTTTCCGGACAACCTAATAGAATGAATCGCAGTGCAGTTCAGGACAAGTCGCAGAATCGGGATAGATTGAATTGACCGCGCAAAGAATAACCTAAAAGTTTACTCGCGCGTAATCAGTCTCGTTTTCTTGATTTGAATGCGTTGCTTTGCCATCATTTCTGTTTCCCATTTTTAGAGAGGCTCTAGTATCTCGTCTTGAGGTGATGCGGCCAACGTACGAACAACTAGAAAAGTATGCTAATGAAAATAAACCTAAGGTATGAAAATTTTTCGAGACATTGTTGCCTTTAGGCAATGAGATCACTGAGCGCTGCTGAAGTTTTCGCCATCGGAGTAATAGAGGGGATTCATGGGCAATATAGTGTCTGGTGTGCGCCACACTTTTAGTCCTGTGTGAAAATGAACCACATTCAGACATATATACTTTTTTCTTCGTAAGCGAGAGGCAGGATAAATCTCCAAGTCTAGTAGGAGATACATTTACGCCTTGCAGGACGAATTTCTGAGCAGTGCGGCTGCGAGCGCGCTTCTGCGGACAAAGGGCCATCTCTATGCCGTTTATACCGTTTTGTCTCTAACGACGGTACAAAATGCCGACCCAATGCCCAGTGCTCCCATACGCCCACAAGTGTCCGATCGATGCTGATGGTCGTATCGCTTCATTTGCAAAGTACATTATAAAGCGGAAAGATAATATGATGCGTTGTCTGTGTCGGATGGAGTATGTGATAGCATGCAGCCTATCTACCGTAGTGGTTGTTGCTACGATGCCAATGGTAAACTAGTTTGAAAGTTTTTTGAGCCATGTGAAGCAAAGAATTTACTGCAAGTTTTTGACCGTCTCACTTCGTTTTTTTAAATTCTCCCCACTATATGGCACCCATGCTACCACTGTGAACCGAGTACCAAATCATCGTGCCTTAGGGCTTCAAGGTGTTGCATAAATGATAAGAAGTTTCGCAGGAACAGTGGGATTTGAGTTCAACATCTCCCGACAAGTGAAGTAATTAAGATAAAAATGTATTCGCCTGCAGTTTTGATTGAGAAACAATCGTGTGGCTTATCCTTGAAAAGAAGAGATCCTCCCGTCAGACTTCACTGAGTGCAGCACAAATCTGGAAGATGCGAAGGCCTATCCAGGGTTTTGATGTGTTACTATGTAGTTCACAAAAGCCGTACTTGAATAGTGCAGCTTATGGATCAACAGAGAAAAACTATTCTCGTTTCCAGCTGACTCCCGGTATCCGAGAACTGGTCGCCTTGTTGCACAGACGTGGCACTGACGTGTTTCTTGTATCTGGTGGTTTTCGACGGCTCATTGAACCAGTGGCTGACATGCTAGGTGCGATGACAGTAACAAACTATACAACGAAGTTTCAAGGTAGAATTATGAAGAACAGAGTGGTTTCAGGCATTGACAGGAAGCGAATCTATGCCAATCAGATATTGTTCGATAAGAATGAAAACTATGCTGGTTTTGATGAAAATGAGCCTACGAGTGATTCGGGCAGCAGGAATGTGAGTTGGGCATCACTAAATTGACTGGCGCGCACTCTCGTGTGCTTCACACTAAACCCTCTATGGGCCTGATCACACACAGCCTCGCAGTGAGATCGTCATCGTGGATTTTTGAGCATCCATTCCTTCTTCTGAGGGACAAAACCCCACGACCGTATACTGTCTAGACAGGCTGCATTCAACACCACAAACCTACGTTCGTTCAATGCTTCTCCAAGGAAGATAAAACGAAAAAAAGCCATGAAGATTACGCTAACTAGGGACCTTGCAGTCTCACGAGCGCTCCGGACCTGCTCGTTTTATGCCAGCAAAGCGAGTATCTGCCAGCCACAAGCCCACTAAAAGTTTCTTCGCGTCATCCAATGCTGACAACATCTAACAGTGAGAACCAAAGAAAAACACGGTGTAAAAACCAAACTGACACCAAAAGTAAACGTTGAGTTTCAGGGGGGGGACAGCTAGGGAAGGCTTTAA